TACAGTTATTTAAGCTATACACACTACAAGAGTCGCCGTGACTTCATCGTCAGTTCATCTCATCGTTTATCTATTTAATTAATTAATTAAAGTATGTTAAAATAGCCAAATTTGTAAGTTACGTACGGAAAAATAATGCACGTTTAATGCAATTCAAAAGTGAAAATATTTTTTTGAAAAAGTGATGATGGAAAAGAAACCAAGAAATGTAAATAAAATATGATAAAGTGAAAGTTAAAATGAAAATGATGTGGAGAGAAATGAAAGCCAAAATCAAAGAGAATGATGGAAAAATGGAAATGAAAGTCGAAATAAATGAAATATAAGAGAAATTGAGGATTGGAAGTGAATTAAATAAAATCTGTAAGTGAAATAAAAGTGTAAAAGAAACTTTGAACGAAGCAAGAATTGTAAATTAAATTAATAATTACTGTATAATAATAAAGACACCGAATTAAAGGCAAATAAGAATCAACTGAAATGTTAAATGGACGAAAAAGGACAATTAAAATAAGAGTGAAAAATAAACTAAATAGCAAATAAAAGAAAACAAGAAACTAGTAAATACCAGTCGACCCCCCTATAACACTGTTGATTATTCCGTTTTATATGAATTCCATGTTGTACGAGTCACTTAGATTTTACAAATACGTGTGCCGGGCTGTGAATGTCTCACGAATTTGTAAAATCTAAGTGACTCGTACAACATGGAATTTATATAAAACGGAATAATCAACAGTGTTATAGGGGGGTCAACTGGTATTTACTTTAAATTCGTTGTAACATTCTGTGATTTTGTACGAATTGTATCGACGTTGTATGCCACTTTATAATCATTTTCTAAGTTTAGTATTTTTAAATACTGTATATTCGAACTGTTTAACGTAATTTTACATTTTCTACAAGGAAAATTACTCGTAGATTCGTTGTATTTTCAACACATGGCTTCAAAACAGTCTCATTAACATTCGTCTTTTATTTAATCATTAAAAAAAAGTCAGAAAAAGTTTATATTTATTGTTATTTCTTTAACAATTCACAAACTATTTCTTCTTGCGATTATTATTTTATATTAACTTTGAATATTTTTAAAAGCTATTTCGTGACTTTCCCTTCCATAACATAAAGAAGGTTTGTTCGATCGATTTTCGAATAGTTTATTTTTATTTTATTTTATATATTTTTTTCTAGAAAAATTATATTGATAAAATAATTTTTAAAATTTTTTTTATTTTATTATTTTATTAAAATAAAGGAACATAATTTAAAAAAAAAGAGCAGAAAATCCTAGAAAATGTTCCTTCTTAGGAGTTTCAAAGATGCTTAAAAAACGCTCAATTTTATAATAATAACTTGATAATATTACAGCTTCAAAATTTGATATAAAATTTAGAAAAATTTACATATACAAGAGTTATAATTCATATAAGTTGTCTCATTATTCATGAATACAACAACAGACTTTCAATCATTCAATTAGCATACGAACACATTAAACATTGTTACGATTAAATCCATGAATATTTTAATATCCATGAATTAAATATAGAAAAAATTTTGTCTAGTAAATTTTTTCCTCATTTTTCTGTAAATAATTTAATAAATTCATATTCAAAAGTTTAAAATACTTATGTAAATTTACGAACAGAAATGTTATTTACAGTCTGTCTGAATGGTTTGCCTCGGGTGAGGTTTCACTCTCATCATTTAAAGGGGTTAAAGACAGAGAGAGGGAGAGAGTTTTTTTAAAAAAACTACCATAAAATAGCATAAAAATATTCATTTAAATGTTTAAAAAATAGATGCAAAAGAAATATTTCTGAAGTCTTTTCGTAATTTAATCCTAAAGTATTCGTTGTTATATATAGGAAGGAATGGGTTACTTTTTTGTAATCCTAAGTTGTAAAATAGCCTTGCCTTAACACACTCTATAAAAGTCTAAAAAGCCCTTGATCCTTTTATCAAATAGTAATAAAATGCAAAGTATAAATCCCTAAATTGTATTCCGGTAGATGAGGTCCTAGACTGCATCTTGTTTAGCTTATCCTACATTTTGTTAACGTATATAAAAGTTAAGTTTTAAAATGTTATAAATTATTTTAATATTTTAAAAATAATTTATGGCATTTTAATACATTATTTTTTAACAGAAATAAATTAATTTTTTCACGATTATGTGGTAGTTTTTTTAACTCAAACGAGGGCGCCACCGTTATATTTTTTCCTTTCCTTAAAATTTGCATACGAGTCAGACTTTTTTTTAAAATAAATTTTATCAAAATTTTATGCGTTTTTTTGTGTAATTTTTAGCGATTTTGTCAAAAAATCTCATCACACGAAAGCCGAAATACTGACAGTTGTGTATAAAATCATATTTAACATCACCATACTGTATATTATTGTATCTTTACAGTCCTACTTTTAGTAGGACTGTAAAGATGAATGAATGAAGGCAAAGAATATTAATTAAGAACTGAAGAACAATAGAAATTAAGACATTATATAGTTAATTTATTGTCTTTAGAAGACAAATATTAAATAAAAATCTTTAAAATGACTTTATTATCTGGTATTTATGAATCTGTTATCGGTTATATTGTATCTTTACAGTCCTACTTTTAGTAGGACTGTAAAGATACAATATATCCGATAACAGATTCATAAATACCAGATAATAAAGATTTTTATTACATATTTTAACAAAAATAAACAGCTAGACTGCGAATTTATCTCTTCGCATATATTCAGTGTTGTTTTTCTTATTTTTATGCATATTTTTTTCACGTTCGAAGATAGAAGAAACAAGAAATTATAAAATTTTTACGATGTTTTCGAAAATTTGATGGAATAATTTAATAAAAGCCTACTCGATTTTATAAATTTATAATACCGCGTCATTTCTCCGATCGTTATCGTTCCAATTTTTGGATTATAAAGAAATAACACTTTTCTATTTAAGGATATTTATATAAATATCTTACTTTCTTTTTATTATATTATAATATAGAACTGAAAGGTAAAGAACAGAAGCATAGAGATATAAAACTATTCAGCTTTAACTGTTTCTTAAAGGAAAAGAATATTAATTAAGAACTGAAGTAGAATAGAAATTAAGGCAATGATTAGTTAATTTATTGTCTCAAAAGATAAATATTAATTATTTTTTTTATTGTTCAGTTCAATTATTATTGTTTAAATAGTTTCTTTACCTTTCATTATTTGCCTAAGGCAAAGAAACTATTCAGAGAATAGATAAATAGAAGAATAACTGGTAAATATATATAGAATAGTAATAAAAGTGAATAATTAGGGGCAAAGAATAGTTAAACATAGGTTAACATAGAAAAGATAATGATCAATAGAGACAAGTGTATCATTCTATTCTTAGTTTATTGTCCTCCATTAAATTTTAGAGTAACGTGATTATCTTTTATGTATTTTTGTTCATTGCCATCTAGTTATATAGTACAATATTTATGCTTCCCTGTAGACTGTTACGGTAAACTGTAATGTGATATGACGAACTTACGAGAATTTGAAAGTAATTATAATTAATCTTCTGCTTAAAGAACCCGGAACTTGGTTGAAGAAACTATGAGCAATCGATGTGGGTGTAAAAACTCGAATGTTGCATCGAGTTAATTGTTTAATTTGTGACTATTCAACTTGTGATTTTAATAGATTTTATGGGAATTTAATAACTAGTAATTACATATTTTTACTTTAGTATCGTAAAAAATTCGTAACAAATGTTACAGGCAATTCGGGAAGGAAGCAAAATCTGTTACGTTAAGATAAAAGAAAGGAAGTTACGACCAATTAGTCAGTAACTTTCTTAGAAGTTACTTTCACTATTTTCTGATAAAACTTTCGTTTTTGTTAATTATACAGTTATTCCTCTATTATACCACAATAATTTGTGTGTATGGTTTCCGTCTATCGATCGTAAATGTTATTATTATTATTTTTTCTTTCTAACTCTCTTGGCATTATACGTTGGAAGATCCTTTTTGATCAGCTTCCAACAGTAATGAATGAATAACCCAACTGTGTTTTTACTAAGTGTCTCTATGAAGTTTTGTGAATATTTTTGGGTGTTCCGGAACATGTGAAGATGATCTGGCAGTTTAAAAATCTCTCACAAAACAAAATGTTCTGAGTCCTTTGCCAAGTTTCTTTTTTTTTTCAATTTAATATTTAGAAAATGCATTTTTAGCTTCTCGACTTCTCATAAATTGTTTGTTACCTTCCAGATTAAGCTCTGGTGGAGTACTTTCCGATAAACGCTCCATTAGAGCTTAACCTTTTGATAAATATCTAGTCGATGATATTACTCACTCTTCCTAGAATACAAATAGGAAATCTTCCAATTATATGTAATCATATTTACAATTTTGGTGCTTCAAATCATTGATTTATAAGTTCCTTAACCTTACGAAAGCAAGCGTAACGTAGTAATAAAATAAAGAGATTAATTACTATTTTAGTTTGAGTTTTAACCATTTTAAATGTTACTTAATACACATGATAGTCCATAAATCCGTGTTTTTTTGTATATTCCATGTAATTTATGAATGTTATTCGTTTTATGACATTATCACCAGCAGCATGATTATGATCTGAATTCAAACTTGTGCTGCTAAAGCTATAATATAGAGATCACTTTTTCTTTACAATATAATAAATTTTAATGAGTGATGCTCTAAAATTTAACCTTGTATAAGCTGTAGTTTGTTTAGCAAATATGTAAATCAGGCCCTGACATTACCTACATTAATGATCTACTATAGCTTTTTCTAATGACGTTACATACATAAATTGGATGCAAATTTTAATTTTTCACAATATTTTATGACTGCAACAATATAACTTGTATAATTTTTACTACTTTAGGCACTGAAGAAGACTCGCTCGTGGCCTTCAATATGCTTTTGAAAAATTTGAGCGAGACCCCGTGTACTTAAGATCTTTAGTACAGTATTTACAATAAAGTAAACGAATTTTAACGAATTTACTTTAATCGGAACTTAGCCCGAATCGGGTGGATACAACATCAGAAGGAAAAAATTCACATACGCAAAATAATAAATTATAGATCCACGACAAACCGAAACGGGATTAAAATGGCTACTGGTCCACGTTACCAACTTCATGGTTCTTCAGAAAAAAATTGATTTTGATCGAATGTCTCTGTATTCTTTCAACTGTATGGTGTTTAGAAAAATAGTCGAGTAGTAGTTTCGACTGACATTTGTATAAATATCGTATACTTTAATGACATTGCATCTCATTCGAATTTCTCACTGAGGATTCTCCAAATGGATGCGGATAAATTAATTTAAAATGCCAATATACATATATATATATATATAACGTCGTAGATAAATTTGTATACGAAGTTTTAGAGTTTTTGGCTCGAAAAATGCGAATAATCGCACCATCCTGAATGATGAAGTAGATGACAAAACATTCTTTGGCTATTTTGTGCTGTATTTTTTTTTTTCTTGCACTAGTTGATTCGAGTCCTTCTTCTACCATGAACGGTAGTACTACTGTTAAGTCTTCGAGATTTAAATGCCAAAAAAAAGGGACGACTCGACTGAATTTACGTTAGTTCTATTGTCTACTTGTCTCTCTCTGGTCCCACTTTACGTTCTTCCGCCAATTTCAGCCATTGCAATCTGTTGTGAGCCACTCCGGCAGACAGGACGCTCAAGTTTCTGTGGATCTTGGTAAAGGCCTAAGAATATTTGCTGTGTAAATGTTGATTTTATACTGGAGACAAACAAATAAAGTAAATTACCTCGTATATGGGCACGCAGATGGCATCTATAAATCGAACTTGCATCAGAGGTAGCTGATCTTTCTTTTCTCTGTTCATCATGTCCTTCATGAAGTAATAAATTAAAGATATTACAGTTACACTCACAAATTTTCTTAATTTTAACGGAATGAAGCATGCAAAGTATTGTATATTGACATGAACTTGGAAGTAGTAGACTTACGATAGGTTGAATCTTCAATTCCTCCTTTTCCATATCACCTTGCTGAAAGAACTCACTGGCAACTAATTCTGCCACCTAAAATGTCAAGCATATAATAGAAAAGTAAATACATTTAAAAAAAATTAAACATACCACTCTTTGTATCTCCCACGGCTTAGTTATGGCAGCCACATCACAAGCAGTCATCAGCATGGCTCTGTTAAAAAAAGAATTTTGTAAATTTCAAACGGTAAAATAAATCTCCATCTAATCTTTAAACTTATGTCACTTTTTGTTAATATTACAACACTAATTTTTCTTCTACCTAAGCAATTCTCGATGATTTTCATCTTGCCAATCATATTCTTCAGAGCTGATCAGCTTAAAAAATGTACCCCTCCTCCTAGGTTGAGAAAACAGGCTTAAGTATAAAAAATTCAGAAAAATAAAGGTAAAAATAAAATAATAAACACCTAAAGTAAACTGCCAAATCCGTGGCTAATATAGCATCTTCTAAAACGTGAACCACCCAAGAATACTCTTCGGGAGATAGATGGCTTAATATTTGGTTTCCCTAAGAAAAATATAATCTTAATCAACTCGTGTAATAGTCTCTTAGCCGATTTAAATCGCAACACTTACGTGACTGTTCAAAATCATAATACACTGATCGAAATGATGATGCTCCATAGTGGATGTCGAATATAACTGAGCCAAGGGCGAGCATGATCTGTAAATTGCACATGTGTCATTCTTAAAAATGTCAGTTTATGCTAATTATGAAAATATAACATCAAGTTTTTACTTAATTTGAAAGGAGTTGTTGGTTCCTCTGTGATCGAGATCATGGCATAAACAAGCAACTAATAGAGCTAGAGTTTCCAGTTCTCCAAGAACTCTCCATAGTTCTGTGTTCTAAAAGGTACCAAGAGTTTATTGAACTGTTTAAAGGGAAAAAATCGAAAGGGAGTGTTATATACCGTTAAGATGGCAAACATCATTTGTCCTACGTTAAACGCATGCCTCCAGTTGTGATAGGTTACTTGCCGGTAGTTCTTTCTGACACTCAATAACCATCTGCACAATACCTGTAAGTATGAAAATATTAGAAAATAACAAAAAAAAAATTATTTGTTCTCTTCCCTATATATTTTTAAAGATTTAGATTACCAAATAATCAATATGAAAACGTTCGATCAAATCTAAATCTAGGAACATTCTGAGACAAGCTTTCAACATCTCGTCATCATCCAAGCTGAAGTCATTAAACTTCAAGTCGTGAAGTTTGTAGGCTTGAGTGGAAGGAACTAAAGCTTTCTGGAATTAAATTAATGATTTTCATAAATTGTTAATGAGAAAATTCAAAAAGAAATTGCTTACTTTAAGTCTGTAAGCTTCTTCTAGAGGTGCTGTAGCGTGATAAGAGAGAACCTCCAGAGTCACTCTTTGTTTAGCCATGGCTTTGATTGCTTTTTCATACATTTGTGTATTGTGGATCCCCATTCCACAGAAAATGGCGAATGCCTGAAATTTTAATAATTATATAGTAATTTATTTTACAAATTTCATATAGAAATCCTATTTTGATTATAAACTTTTCGAAGTCGGATGATTGCAAGAGGTTTTCCTTCTACTTTGAAGAATCCAGATTCGAATTCCTTCTGACTTTGTGAAGAGTTTGATCCTAGGTTTTGTTCTCCATACTTTATTCACTAAAGATAGCTGAATATTTGGACTCATACATGCCCAAAATAGCGAACTTACGGACCTTAATTCTTCAATTTATTGAATTCAGTTGGGATGTAGATATTTTATTACATTTAATTTCTGACACGAATGCAATCACGAAGCCAAAAGACAGTTCTCTATATAACGCCACATAAAATTACATGAATGAATAATGAAATAATCAGTATACAATCGAAATTTACCAAGTGAGAAAACGAACATCCGTTGCGATCACGAACATTTTAACAATATAAGAGTAACTTACCTCGAATAAATTTTCGTCATTTTTATTGAAAGGAGTCCCATTTGATTTATTGATCAGCTGACTCACGCCTAGAATTTTGCCGTCGGCATTTCTAATAGGCATGCATAACACGTTGCGATGACGAAAGCTGGTACCTCTATCCACCTGATAAACAGAACGTTCTGTAGAACCTTGAACGATTTTCTGAACGTATAACGAAACACAACTTACGCTCTGATCGAACCTATCGTCCGCGTAAGCATCGGGAATGTTTAGAGCCTACAAAAAGAACAATTTGAAAAATTAACACTTAGAATAATCCTCTCACGAGCAATTTATTATTAATAATAATAAGAGAACCGCGCGCATCTGCCGGTACCATCTATGGATAATATGTTATAAAGAAGATGATAATCATGGATAATGGTTGATGGCACTTAAAATTTTGATGTAAATTAATTGGAGAAGAAATGACTCTGTGGTTGACATGAGCAGATGCGGGCGGATGTCAAGAATGGCAACCTGTTCGTACTTCTCCGGTGGCAGCTACATAGCCTGTGATACCAACATTGATGGGGAATCTCCCTTCGAACGGACTGGTAAGTAGAAAGAACACATGTCATTACAATGTACAGATACTAGAAGTATTAACCTAATGAATCTTACCTGATTCTCGAACTGGAATCTTCTGTTTCCATGTCTCCAGAATCCAAGTCGAATACGCGCGAAAACGTTCCCTGCAAACAAGAAAGAAATCTCGTTTATCCAGAATCGAAATGATTAAAGTATAAACTGTATTACTAACTTGGGTAGATTCGTCCACTAGCAGTACTTGGCATCTCTCGCAACCTAGTAGAGATTGCGTGTGCGTCATTATCCGGTAGACAATGTGTTCTATGGTGCTCTGTTCCTCAAAGACCATCCTGGCCAAATCTAGAAGCACCTACAGAAGGATAAGATTGGTTTTTGTATCGATCGAGCTACTCGAAAATTAGGAATTAGTTTCTTCTATCTACCTGATTTCTTTTATTTTCCAATTCTGATCTCTCGTATAGTTGCGCGTTCCTCAAACCGATCCCACAGAACTGTAAGTATTGAGCGAACACCTAGAACATTAAAGGACAGGTTAGACGTGATACGAAGTTAACAAGCTATGTGTAACTATATCTTACTTTCTCGTCGTTGGTGTCGAATGCTTCTCCTCTGATCCCGTTTTTGTTGATGACCTGAGCCACACCCAGCACTTGACCGTCGTTGTCGAAGATGGGCATACATAACATACTTCTAGTGGTGTAGCCCGTCTTCCGGTCGATGGTATGGTTAAACCTGGAATCCTGAATGAAGTTCGTGCTTAGTGTCATGACGTAAAACATTTACACGAGTTATAGTCTTTGTTTAATGTTTTATTATCTTTGTTCATCGCGTACAAAATGGTTGTAAAGCGGGTGAATGCAAAGTGGTAAAACCCGATGTACAGGGGTGTTTTCAAGAAGAAAGAGTAGGAAAAGAGGAATGATATCGTCTATCTTTGCTATCTTGAAAAAGTAGACGTTCGAGCATAATTATAGCTAACGTCACTAATGGACGAGTTTTAGTGTTTAGCAGACGTGTTCGTGTCAACGTAAAGCAGTTCTACTGCGCGTTTATATATATATAATTACAGCTAATTCCAGTGGGCGATCAATTTTCTTGTCAACAAACGCGCTACTGTATTCGAACACTTCTGGGAATCGTGTTTTTTTTTTTCTGGTGCCACCCGGTCGGGAGGGCGCAGTCCTTGACCAACGCCCTCGTATAGTCGATTAAATGCCCAGCAAGCATCCCGGATCCGAATTTTGGGCGTGGCTGCAGAATATCTAAAGGTCAAAGTAGCATAGCGCTTCCTGAAATCAGAATTTGCGGGTTTCCGTTTCCGTTCGGAAACTTTACACCGGAAGCTGATGTCGAGTGATAACCTACCTGATAACAGTCTGTGATGTTGACGGACTCGCCCTTTTCTGCGACGTAACCCACGATGCCTTTACCCCACGGTAGCCTGATCTCTTCCTTTTCGTTCATTTGTTGCAGAGTCGAATCGCTGGACACGTCAAACAATTGGCTGACCAAGTAACGGTTGGGCGAGCCTTTCTCACCCCCCACTAGAAACAGGGAGCATCGGTCGGCTCTGGTTAGTATACTGACGTTTTGCAAAATTTTATGGCACAAGCTGCGAACATCCAAGTCATTGCAGATGTCCTTCACCAACTCGAAGATCATCTCTCGTTCATCCAAGGCCTGAAGTTCCTGCCTGCTCTTTCTGTTCGGTCTGCTGGCCGGAAACGAGGTCACCTCACCCGGAAGCGGAAGTGGAAGAAAAGTGGGGGTTCCATCTACCGTGGTACTGACGATGGGCCGCAAAAGACCGCCCCTTTCGAAATCGTGAGCCGAAATCTTTCGGACCGGAGTAGTAGCCCCCGAACCCGATTTGGAAGTGGGGCTGGCAGGCGTGGAGACGACTTCGTGAGCTACCCCTTGGGTGGCGTGTCCTAGCAGCCAAGAGTCGACCATATGCCTGGTGGCCTTGCGGACGAAGTAATCATAGACGAAGGAGGGGTGTTCGTCCAGCCACGACTCCACCCCCTCCAAGTCTTCTTCGCCCGGAGGCTCGTCCATGGATGTGCCACTCGTCGCGCCAGAATCAAAGACGGAAGGACCTCCTCGTGGATGCCAACCCGGCGGCCAAAGTAGACGCCATAGAGTTGTCGGTGCGACATCTTTTCGACTGTCCAGTTTGTCGATTTTCTTGGAAGTATCTGCAAGAAAAACAGAAATCGGAAACATTAACGGACAGTTAGCACGCACTTATTCACATTACCGGAGTACATCCAAACATAAACTTCCGATTTCGAGCAGTTTAATGTGAAATCGAATCGTGAACATTTTCATTCACATTAAGCCGAGGTCGATTCTCACCTGTCCATTTCCTCTGTCTTTGACGTCACGGATCAGGTGTTTCGGACGTTCAGATCGCGTTAAATTAAAGCGATGATTCACTAGCGTCAACACTTAATGGAACGTAGACCCGACTCCAATTCGTTTCCGTTAATAGCGTTTCTTCTGGGATTCGTAACCCGCATAGACGAGCGCACTTATCAGGGGTGAGGAAGCCGATTCTGGGAACCGACAGAAAATACAGGAAACGTCGTCTAAGAGGAAGCTCGAACAGACATTACCGATCGATAATCACGTAGTGAGTAAGTAAAAAATGCGCTCAGTGTCGAACTTCCTCTCACCTTCCACCCAGACGCCATATTGAATTTGTATGACTGTCGCGAGACGTCACGCGACTACTAGTTGTAGATGTTTGCCCACACAATTAATGCTCACACATGCTTGTAATCTGATAGATATTCTATTATAAGAATAGGATTAATCGTTTATAAATCGTAATCACAAATCTAGAAATTTCCGCGAATAGATGGTATTTCACAAGCGTGGTTAGTCGACACGCGCGTGTTGCTTAAAAATAACTATGGAGTCAAAGAACGATCAACGCTCCACACCTGCACCTCCTCAAGGACGGAGACATCTCGTTGGCATGTGGAAAAGGAATAACAAAGACGAGAAACGTCTAGAGACTGCACGCATTGCATTGACAACAGAATGAATTTGCGCTTTTCTCAGATTACCTGTCGAGGTCATCTGGGTCTAACTATGCTTAACGCTTGGCATAACACCGGGAGAGTTTATAAGCTTTACAAGCGAAGTGTTTCACCAAAAACACTTCTACACGTTTCAATTTATCTTAACCTTACCTGTAGGGAATCGATCTATTTTTAATCAAGAGCTTTGCATACGAGAAAGTTTTCAAGATTCCTCCAGAGAACCCCCCGTTGTTAATTACGAAAATAACTACAATTAGCAATTCAAAATTGTGCTCTGTATCAATTTTACTCGCACCTGACTACTCGAGGCCATTTAACCCATCGTAATAACTCATTTTTACTGTTCTGTATAGGAAAATTACTCGAGTATTTTGGTCATTTGATGGGCAAATTATATAAGAGACAATCAATTGTTTTTGGTGTATCGGAAGAGTCGATAATTTTTTAAGTCTGCTACTACGACAACGGAAAGAGGAACCAAACCAAGGACGATTTACGTAAGATGGTTACTCGAAATACTTGATGTATAAATAGGGGTTGTACCACTACTCTGCTTATTTTTAAAGCAGCGGAAGAGTAGCTGGCGCAGCAATATCTCCTCCGGTTAATTAGCATTTATTAAGTGGAGAATAATTTAAATTACAAGCTCGCGCGCGCTTGAGTGATTCTCTAAGCGCGACACATTCAATCTGCACGTGACGGTGACGCCATTAATTATCTTAAGAAATAAAGTAAGGAAGATGAAGAAATAAATGAATCACACTTCTCAGATGAAGTAGTAATTAAAAGATAATGGAGTATAAACCTCCGAAAGCGAAGTGTTTCACTTGTCTGTGCAGCTAAAATAAGAACGAGAGGAGGAAGAGCGCGTGACTCTTACCTGTCGCAACGTCTCGAAAGGGTCATGATTGTTTTTCCGATGGACGGATAGGATATAAATACATTCGTCTAAGCCGTGTATGTATATATATATATGTATATAATGCGATCTACTCTACGGCGTGACTCGGCGGAAGCGATCCATTTCCATTCACGGAAGAGGTGGAGCCGAACACACCGGTCACTCTTCTTCCCGCTGCTTGTTGTGGCCGGAATGACGCGTAGTCCCGCGCTCTAGCTAGAGTTGTTTTACCTGGGATCCATATCCGGCCGAAGAGTCTCTTCCTGACATGCTTCGGGACTTTCCGGAAGGCGGCGCTTTTGGCTACAGGCAGCGCCATCTTCCGACGAAATCTTTTTAATTTGAGCGTTTTTCCGCACCATCTTTTCATTGCGGCGCAACGGAAAATGATTGTTTTGAAATAATGCTTCTGTGGACTTTAAAATTGTTGAATCTTGACTAAATCCTCTCGTACACCCTCTAATTATTAATGTATGTTTCTGCTTTCCTCATAAAGTTTACGCATAAATTATCATTACATACTTTCAATAAAGATGGTGCAGTGCCGAAATATGGGTCAGGTTGTAGTTTTCACCTTCAAATCCTTTAGTCTCCACGTGATTCGGGGGAATCCTCTATGCAAGGGATATAATTTCTCGGGAGGTAGTAGTATCGGGTTGTAGACTGTCCAAGGCCGGGTATTATGTCGGTAGACAAAGAACGTTTCCTGGAACAAGTAGTAGAAAATCGGCCGCCAACACGGAAAAGAACGCTTGACCTACTTATCCGGATGAAAGGTCAATGCCGAGAAGGAAAGGTCATCCAAGCTTAGATCGCGCGAAGGCGTTCCCTTTAAAAATAGGACGAATTCGACCTGCTCAGGTGTCCGGTGTCACTTTATGCTTATTTTTAACTGTCCAGAGTTCGAGGACTCACAAACAATACCTTAATCTCTCCGTTTCCCAATAAGCAACAAACCGCTTCCGATCGGATTACCTCTCTTTATATAATTTCATTCATCATAATTTATCTGTATTTGGACCTCGTTGTTAAAAATAACAAAAGAAGCACGTTCAGAATTTGGAAATTAAAAAAAAAAGAATCCATTTTTCTTAAATGCCAGCTTGCTGCCTGTTACAATAATGATTGTTCTGAAAAGGTCGTACTATGTATGGGATCGCTTTCTCTACTACACCACTTTTCACTTTATCTAAAGTGGTAGAGGCTATATCTAGTTAGCTTTAAGTGATGGACACTATCAGAAAGTCGTAAAAATATGAGGATATCAGTTAACAACGAATCGGATTCAAATCTTCGATCGCTAAATTAAAAAAAATGAATTGTAAAGCAGTGTTTGATTGTCAAAATTCGATATCTTAAATTAAACGGAACGGTTGTTAATCACGTACGACATTTTCTACACCTTGCTTCAGTTGGTTTTGCAGTCTTTAATACATTATATTGTTTTTTTAATATTCCACTCGCCCTGGTAACTTCAGAAATTTCAGAATACCCTACAGCTATGAAGGGTCTTCTGAAGTTTCTCAACGTTGTGACCTTCGTTAAAGTACTGTACCTCAAATATGCCAATCTATGTGAATTCTTAAAGCTAGTTTTTAATCGTATCGATGATTGAAATGCTTGAAATTCTATCATATTAATACCACTCTAAAGCCTAGAGGTGCGTGACCCTTGTAGAGTGAAATACTCCTACTACATCAAATCATATTTATGCTTTTGTATTTAATGATTTATTGCATTATTGAGTTATAATTTATAGTCCTGACTTATTAGCCAGAGAGTGATTTGATATAATACTAAAACATCCCATCTTACAAGGCCAAGGACTTGTAAGGTGATATGTGACAGTGCATCAAATCATGCTTTTATATAAAAACAATCTAGCAATTCATTGTATTGTTATGTCACAATTTATAATCCTGGCGTGTTAGAGAAATTTAACAGAAATAATTATTAAATCGTGAAGAAATGGGGGACTACTAAGAGTGGCGCCATCTTATAGCCATTTATAAAACAAAAAATAGTAATTATTCGTAATAATATAATGGTTCCAGATATTGAAATTACTTTGTATTATTTCTATGCATAAATAATTTAATGGTTCCAATTAAGAATTAAAGTATTCAAATTTAACTTTTTTTTTTTTTAGTTTCCCGATTTAAATCGTCTCTTCAGAACATTCGAAACTGACCAATTATGGTACTGTACTTTTAATACATTTGGATTGATAAAAAATCTGTTGTGAAACCGAATTATAATTGATTTAATTAATTCGGATAATAATTTTAAAATAATTTAACTGAAATTAATTAAAATAAATGTTTTCCTGAATTATTTCATATATAATTATGCATTGTAGATGTCATTATAATTTACATAAAATTCTTTAAATTTCCCAATATTTTTCTTACAATATGAGGAAATTTTATTCTATCTCATTTAGAACAAACTAAATGTTTTGGTAATTTAGATTAATATAATATTTTCTCATTTTTTAGAGATAGTAAGCAAGGAAAAATTCGTTTCGCTTCGTTTCACATTTTGTTACTATTTTATACGTCATCCCAAACTAACCAATCGGTTGCACTTTACGATCAATTAAAAAAAAACTAGAAGGTTGTGATTGGCTCTTTCAAATATTTAAAATAAGAAAGCTGTTGCTAGTGTTTCAAAATATTTAAACTACTAATGAGAAGCACGTGAAAGCTTAATGTGTCTATCGCTTTCACAATGTAAATGCTAAGATGTACCATTTTTGCAGGGGATGGGTGTAGACCGGAAGCGACGTCATCAATCGCGTTGGCGTTGTCATTGAGATGTCGCATCGAGATCCTTCCACCCTTAGCCACCACCAAATTTATGTATTTCGAAATATAAAATTGGAAAAGTTTCTTTTGTCACATGATCCGACCATTTACGTGTTGTTCTAAGTAAGCTGTTCGATACACTCCAAACCAAAATGGGCAGTGTCATCTGTATTATTTTTTACTAAAGTTTTTCAATTCGCGATTAGAAAATATATTCCCGAAAGGCAATAACTTAACGGAAGGCTCCTATAAAATTCTATAAAAAGTTTTTTTTTCTCTCTCTCTCTCCCTTTCAAATATAACTCTTTCCTTTTCTATAGAAAATATTGCGAGATTATATGTCGCATTTGTCATCGATGGTAATAACCCAACGTCGCCAATGCATTAATCAATGCCAACTATACGATTATAGACTCGAAACGCTCGCGACTCCTTTCCTCCTTTGGTCCTGACGTCACCGCCATAAAGAACAAACACGTCGCTGACATAATAACAATTTATGAGATTTATAACTATAAAAATAAATTCGCGAGCTGTCTCCCTTCTTCCCTTTTCATATTTTCTTAGAAAATAAATAAATATACCAGAGAAATGTTTGATTTTAACTTCGTTTCACAACTTATAACCATCTTCGACGTCAGGAAAAAAATAAAATAAAATATCCAATCATAGCTACTTTAATAAATTATAAATTATGACGTAATCGATTCGACGGTTAAAATCAATTTTGAAATTTCATTAATCCAACGGAATTTTTTAAATTAATAGAAATAATAACGAAAAATATATATTTAAAATTTAGTAAAACGTAAATTTACTGAAGGTGCCTTAAAATAAATTAAGAATAAATATCTCAAATAAAAAAAAAATAAATAAAAAAGAAGAAGAAAAAGTCAAGTAGGCAGCCATCTTTTCATTATTATTATTTATTCAAATAATATTTTTCCACCCAGTTACATGATTCCAGGTGCATTTCTGTTGACGTTAACCGAGTTTATATCTCTTTTCTAATCCCATTTTCCTTAACCAAACACGTCACTGCAGCCATTACTCTTAGTTACGCCTTTTGATTACTGTACTTCAGGATATTATCTAATAATTACGTATTTTGAATATTTATTTGTTTACTAGCTTGCGTGACGGCGTCACAAATTACTAACCTGCCTGCGCATTATATAACGATCAACGGGATGAAGACTCCTGGAATAAATCGCCGTGTTTAACGATTCAATTATGTTTAATAGTTTTTTTCTTTTTCACTTAGGTTTAGTTAATGGAGTGAATTTAGAACTGATTTATTTTTCACAAAAGGAAAAAAATATAGAAATTATGTGACTAAACTTATCAGTCATCTAGAGATAGGCAGCGATGATGAATTTTCCTCCATTATACTACGTCTGCAATTCGCTGATATAATCAGCTTAACAGTAGAAAAAAAAATACGTGATTGGTTGCGATAGTACAAAGGCTGGCATTTTCATGCATCGTCTACATTATCCAATGATATAAAAATTTAAAATTTAATTAGTTTCCTTGAGCTTTGTAATTTAATGAATAGAAACATATATTTTAACTAATAATTACATTACTTTTAATCCTCTCTCTCTTTGCTTCTGATTATACTTTTAATTAATCAAAAGATTTATATATATATATATATTAAAGCTTGTTTCTTATTGGCTGTTTTTAAAATCTATTGTTTATTTTGTATTATTTAAATTAGGATGTTTCATTGGTTATTTCAAATACTGTATTTAAATTAGAAAGTTGTCCAGTAATTTATTTGTAATTCGCAATTGGCTGATTTAATATTTGAAATGTAAACGTTAAGAATTGTGATTGGTTAATTAAATATTTTATATAACGAAAATGATTAGTCGATTCAAATATTTACATTAGAACTACTATTTGCTGTTCCAAATATCTTATTTATATGTAGAGTTGTGATTTATTGGCTATTTAATTCTTAATTAGAAAGATGAATTTATTATCGAAAATATTCACACGCGTAAATGTAAAAGTAAGTTTTTTTAAAAAAAAGTTTTAACCTTGATTTAAAAGAGGGGGAAAAATCTTAAAAATTATATAAATTATAGGTTGTTCACCTATTAATTCCAAGGTCTCTTCTATTAATGTCAATGAATAAATAGAAAAATCAGGTAAAGATTTTGAAATAATGACCTATATAAAAGAAGAGATTCTAAACTTGATAGTAAAAAAAAAAACTATATATTAAATTAATTTTTCTTAAAATTTCAATGTTTTAATTAATACGTCGATTGAAAATCTAATTGTTGCAACAAACCGTAAAATTTTCCGAGGGAAAAAACTACCAAATCTGATAAAAACAAGGATAAAAGAAAAGACATTGATGCAAGAATTAAAACCGGACTACCTTCTCATGACTCTCCTCTTAATTAACATGAAATGGGGAGAGGTTAAATTTTAAAGGATTGATATACACGTATCTAAATATATAAATATATATATATAAAGAAAGATTAGAAGGAAGAAGGTATAAAACTCACG